TATGAAAGTGTAAAAATAACTTTTAATAACATAAATACATTGTAAAAAAATTATTATGAACAATACAATTTAAAAAAAAAATATTACCAGCAATACAAAAAAAATTTGAAAAAAGAAAAAAATTACCCGAAATACATTTCTGAAGATAAAAATATTACCATTTAAAAAAAAAAATATTACCAGCAATAAAAATTTTACTGGCATTAAATAACCCATTGAGGTTGGTATGCTGTAATACAAACCAAACTAAAGCAAGTGGAAATTATACATACAATCTACTAGTAAGGATGCTGGAAAAATGGTAAATCCATTCTATGACTCCATGAATGGTTGATCCATTCTTTGACTCTATGAAGTATCTGATTACTTCTGCAATTCTTTATCTTTACAAAAATCAGAGGAGACCAAAAATAGAATATTGCTAATATATTGTGTAATGAATGTCATGCTGAATGGGCATGCTACCGTGGGAGTCTCTCAGGGCTCTAACCTTTGACCTATACTGTTTCTGATCTTTATCAACAACCTTCCGATGTCATCAGTTTCCAAGTAGGTATTTATGCAGACGACATAGCTATTTACTTTTGTCTTAGTAGCAAGGCTGACAGAACTGACAAAGTAAACCTGGTAGCTACTTTCTCATAGGATCTCCAATCAGTGGTTAACTGGGGAAAGAAATGTGTTGTAAAACTTTAACACCTCCAAAACCAAACTACTTCCATTTAATCACCACAGAGAACCTTTTCTGCCTGCCATTAGCATGGCTGATGCTAAACTCCAGGAGAGCAACTCTTGGCACCTTCTTTGGCTTATGTTTTTCACTAACATGAAGTTGAAATATATCAACTATATTGAATCAATTGCTACATCTACTGCAAGGAAAGTTGGTTCAGTGTGTTGCACCAGAAAATTTTTCTTGTCAGAATCCATCTTGCATATTAATAAATCTACCATTCATCCATGCATTAAATACTGCTGCCATATCTGGTCTGGTGCTCCTGTTGTATATCTTGATAAAATTGTCTCTAAAGTAATCAATCCTTATATGGTATCTTGACAATTGTTGCTTTCTCACCAATATGACACAGATTCCCTCTGTCTCTTCTACAGATATTTTCATGGCAACTCTTCTGACAAGCTTTTTTCCTTAGTGCCTTGACTGCATTAATCTAAGTGTGCTACTAGATTGGCAACTAGGTCCCACCATTTTCACTTGATCTAGCAAGATGCAACTGCCAATTCTATTGTAATAGTTTCTTTTCTTGCACTTCTCACTGTGGAACTCCCTTGTGATTTCTTGCTTCGCTGCTACCTACAATCTTTAAAAATTTAAATGCAATGCCAATTACCATCTTGTGTCTTCCTAAACCCCGTTCGTTTATTGTCCTCTCATCACTTCTTACTAAAGTCTTCTCATTCTATTTCACTCTTTGTAGCCCTCTGCATCCTAGTGGTATTATTGCCTTGCTTGGGATGAAATGATTAAAAAATATATCTGGGCTGGAGCAACACAGTCCTCATTTTCACTCTACAACCTCTTCCTCACAACACAAGAATCCTTGCTCTTCTATTGATGGTCCCATAGCAAATGTTCAGATAATCTTCATTCTTTAGTTCCCCCAGTTCAGACCTTTACTACTAAGACACACCGTGCTACTTCCATAGAACTAAATCATCCATGTTTCCTCCGTATTCCAAATGTAATGAGAAGGTGCCACTCAGACAGTTTTTTTTCTCATGAACTGCGATTTTGTGGAACAGATTCCTGCATGAGAGCTTACCTGAATACTTCAATCTTGACCTCATCATGTCAAAAGACAATCATTCGCTATCCTACATATAGACACACACACACACACACACACACACATATATATGTATATATTTATATATATATATATATTGATAGATAGATATCTCATAAATCCTTGTAATCTTCACTTCCTACCAACTTTTTTTTTTATATACATTATTCATCATTTCCATTTTGTCTTTGAGCACCAATTGTGAGTGGCACTTAAGTCTTGTATTCAGCAATATTTAGCATAAAATAAAGAAAATATCATACCAGATGCATGCGAATTCCCCTGGGGCATTTCTTTTACTAAATATCATGTCTCTGGGTGATGCTGCAGTGAAATTATATAAAATTTCAGTTCAGTTTTCTAAAGCATGCTTCACTTATGTGCAAATACTCTTAGGGAAAGGTATGAATCTACCTCCTCCCCAGAGCTATGGGTTAAATGGTAGAATTTTTATCTGAAAACAAAAACAAACAACAAAACATTGTTAGTTTCAAAAAAATAATTGTTAATGTAAGACTCCCTCAAAAAAAAAGAATTATTTTTACAATCAATGATGTTGGCTTTAAATAGCCCATGAAAGGTTGATAACTGATAATCAATATTATCCAAAATAGCACATTTGGGGTCACAAAGTGAAATGCTAGGGTTGCAAAAATTCAAACACTTTAATTTCAGTTTATATGATATTTCACAAATGCACAATATTTGACTTAATTTGACAGTAATAAAATGTGTATGTGGCGCCGTTGTGATTATTGCAGTGACAATTTATGTATTTTAAGTGTATTTGGATAATACCTGGGGTTGCAAAAAATCTTGTGATGAAAAATAGGGTCATGAATGAAAAAAGTTTAAGAAACACTGATCCAAAACATGAAGAGTAAAAATTGAAATTGAAGAAATTAGTTAAAAAAGGATAATTTAGTGAAAAAGGCATTAATTTGATTGCCCTATTAAAAAAAAAAAAAATTAAAATTATTTCCTACTTTTCCTTATTGTTTTTAATTCAGATATGTTTTATCAGAAGTTTTAAACTATATTCACAATATAAAGTAGTGAATTAAAAAAAAGGTAGCTAGCCAAAAAAAAAAAAAAAAAAAAACTTTTCTAAAATGGCTATGGAACAAAATTAAAAAATAAAAATCAAACGAGAAAATAAGTTGCCATATTCATAACAAGCCTTAAGAAAGGCAAAGGTCAACCAGGCTTGAGACTATTATCAGTTTATCGGTTCTGCTCCAGCAAGGAAATGAAGAATTAATATGTGCTGGCAAATGAGGTGTGAAAGAGCTAGTTTGTTTTGATTTAATAGCACGGGATGAGAGGGGGTCTCCTCAAGGTGCTACGCTTGGGGCAGTGATCCATTACCTAATAAGCACACCTATTTAATCCCAGTTCACAATAATCAAGCAACCATATCCACCTTTGACTGAGATAGTTTACTAAGGTACACTTTCTGATATTCACAATTATTCTCCTCACAACTCTGCTACCTCTCATGAACTTGCTGTTACTGACCCTTAAAACTGACCCTGCTTGCCAAACACTTCCTCTTTTATCAGTGTAGCTACTCATACATCTACACTTAATTCATCTGTATAAACACATTATATACAAATACTGTGTAGAGATTATTACACTTAGTTGGGTCCCTAAATTGTTCATCCATTTAAAATACTGCATTTATTAGAAAATATATTGTTTAAATACAGAAGGGCGTCATAAAAGTGATTTCTAAGGCTCACACATTTCTGCTTATATGCTTTTCCTATTACCCAGAGGTTGTTGCCAGACAGGAAGAGAAATTAGCTATTCTGATACAGATACCCATTTCCTTTTCATTCAAACTGTGCATGTGTGGACATTTGTGTGTGTATGTACATTTGTGTGTGTGTGTGTGTATTTTGATTCAATAACTAGTTCTGGGTATGACGATAAACTACATCTGGCAGCAAGATCTCTGATCGGGAGATTGGCGTTTTTGAGATGCTGCTGCTGTTTTCAAGTTCACCCTGAACTGGGGTTGTAGCACCTGTTAGGGCTCCAGCTATGAGCAAATAATGAAAACCCAAATAAAACACTATGACAGCCTGAAAATACAATTTTATGAAATGACTAACAATACATTTTATCTGTAATTGAAAGCATACAATTAAATATGTTTAAAATGTATTTGGTTGAAGCCATAAAACTGTGTGAAAAATACTTATATTTTGGCATTAAATAACCCATAGGGGTGTTGATATGTCTCTCAACAAGATCAAACAAACCAACATGAAAGAAGTCTTTTATGATATTAATCTATATAATATCCTACAATTTCTTAAAGAAATCAAACTGTATTCCAAAATATAACTTCAACAAAACTACAACATAAAACACACACACATCACTGTTTCTATTAATTGTGTTCACACAGACAGGTATATGCACAAAAGCTGAGTATCATCTACCATGTATTCAATTGTGAAAGTAGCATAATATATATTTTTATTACTTCAAAACTCACCCAAAATTAAATTTTGGCATTAAATGACCCATGAGGAGTTGATATGCCATTAAACATACAAATACAAATTCAATGAGAGACCTACAAATGTTACTACAAAATTAAAAATAAATTTTAAAAAATAATTTCCAAATGTTCAATAATTATCTGATATTTTTTTAAGGTTTAGAATTTAACAAGTTTTTCCCAAAGAAATTGGTTAAACAATTTGTCTCATTATTCCATTTGCGCTATTTTTAATAAAGTTTTAAGGTAAGAGAAGATGGTTCTTTTTATGTATTTTTTCATTATATTTCTCAGCTGTATGCACATATGTAAGTAAAGAGAAAGTTTGACAAACAAAAGATGTTTTTCTTTATGATTTTATTGCTTAGCCCAGAGGAAGATGAAAGGAATTATCCCAATGTCTTATTCATTTTATTGATTAATTGATCCATATTCTACAGTTTATCAACCCTTTACAGGTTATTTAAAGCCAGAATATATTTTTAGGTTGTAAGAATATTTTTTTCTTTTTGGAGATAATGATTTAGTAATACAATACTTATTAATTAACCTAAAGCTTCATACCTTTCGAAAGGGTATTTGCACATAAGTGAATATAATGAACCCAACTGGAATTGGAACTTGGCTCTCCAATTAACAATTGCAAGCCATTATATATTACACCACCCACACATCCAAGCTTACTGCACCTGGTATTCCCAAACAGTCACCCATCTCGGTACTGACCAGGCTTGACATTGCTTAACTTCAGTGATCTGGTGTTTTCACATCATATGGCCATAAGCCTTATATTAAACTCAGATAAATTGTGTGTGCATGTATGTGTGCATATCAAATGGAACAAGCACAGGTAAGTCACACACATATAATAAAGATGTATATACATACATTAAATCTGCACATGCAAAGTCACATGCAGACAGTGCATGACAGACAAAGAATTGGCTCTTCTTTCATAATATAGATTTTGGTCTGAATTTCTAATAGGATGACTTATCATTGTTTACATGCAGACTATTCAACTTATACAGTGAGGCAATTCTAAGACAGAAGTCCTACCAGGATTCATTATTGGTTGCCACAACATAAGATACGCAGATGACACAGTGTTGATAGCAGACAGAGATAGAAAACCACAAGGACTCCTACAGAAGGCAGTGAAGGAAAGCCAGAAGAAAGGACTAAACATCAGTTGCAAGAAGGCATAATGCATATTTGTCAGCAAAAGAAGTATTAAGAAATAGAAAAAGTTAATTAGAAACAAAGAATAGAGTACCAAACTGTTACATAATATCAGTCCTCCTATATGGCAGTGAATGTCATTCCAGAGAAGGATGCTGAGAATACAATGAACTGAACAACAACGTTCTAGAGAAAATTTAAACAAAAAGGACACATACTTAACATCAGGAAGAGATAGTTGAAATTTCTTGGGCATATAATGAGGAAAGAGGGCTTGGAAAATTTGATAAAACACAAGAGGGACAGACAAAGACAATGCATAATGGACTTAGCAAGCTTGAGTAAATGGATTGTGGATAAAGGTTTAGGAAAGATAATGAAAAAACAAAATTTATTAAGAGCTACAAAAGATTAAAAGATTGGTATTTGTGGAGAGTCATGATTGACCACATCCTGAAGGAACAGGGCACAAATAAGGATAAATTTTCTTCTAAATTACCCAAAAATGAAAATAACACTGGTATCTCATTTTAATGGACATATTTACCAAAATTACACAAAAATATCTTGGAACAATAAAGAGCAAATTTATTCCATAAAATTGCCATTGGCTTCGACTACAGTCTCCAGATGACATCGGAAATTCCTGCAACTCTTCTGGATGGTCTCCATATTTAAGTTGGTGAATGCTGCCATAATCCTTGCCTTCAGTTTATCTTTGGTATTACAAGGAGTTTTGTTGGTTTCTCGCACAACTGAGCCCCAGACATAATAATTAAGGGGGTTGTAGTTTAGGGAGTGAGGTGGCCAGATGTTAGGGGTGATGTGGTTGCAGAAATTGTCTGACAACCATGACTGGGTTCTCCTGCTTGTGTGGCATGGTGCAGAGTCCTGTTGCCAGACATAGGGTCTTCCAGCAGCCACCCTCTTGATCCAGGGCAGCACTCCCTCCTCAAGGCACTTGATATAGGCCTCTGTGTCGAGTTTGAGGCCCTCACCAACAAATTTGGGAGTTCTTTTCTTATCAGAACAATCAGAGTGAGTTTGTAATCACATTAGTCTCATCTAACTCTTTCCAAATCCTCTGCACTGTCTTCAGATTGACACCCAAACACTCTAAAATGTTTGTATTGAAGCTTCCATTGTGAATGCCAAGCAGTACAGCATGTTGTTTCCAAATTTCTGGTGGAGTGAATTGCGTCATGGTGCTCTTTTTCTCACAGCTGGTGCCCAACTGACCCTACTATACTGTGCAGTCAAAAAAAATAAAAAAACAACATGCATATGCAAAATTAAAAATAAATAATGACAACAATTTAGCTATCACACTGTAGAAGAATAAAAATGGGCTATTGTCCTTATCTTTTCTGTTGTTATCACAATATATATATATATAAATTCCTAAGAGGATACAATCCAGGCAGAAATCCAGGATGGAGTAAGATATTTTTCGATTTCTTCTTGAATTTGTAGGTCTGATGATTTGGGTCATGATTATGATTCCAATGTAATAAATTATAACCATGGAATATTAGTGTTTGAGCATTTTATATTATACATATATATTGCAAAGAATTCCATAGCTACAACTGATAAATTTAAAATTTTGAAATAATTGTAACAGAGTGTGTTCATGGTCTTTTTTTTTTTTGAAAAATTACCATCACAATGACATGATGCAGATTTTGTCACAATTACAATAAGTTATTGGAATAATAATATGGAAAGGATTATTATAAAAATAAATACATATAATACGTCTATATTATTCAGTAAAACATGTTTGAATGGTGATATGCTGCCTAAATATACATACACACACACACACACATAAATATATTTATGTATAAAAGTAGGTAAGTACATGACAAAATAGAAAAGGACCTTTTGAAAATGCTCTTCTTTCTCAGAAAGAAATTCTTCAGACAAATAATGGTTTTATTGATGGAATCAGTCTTAGATATATGTAAGTGGGGAAGGTGGGTGGTGGTTCAGTACCACTGAGATAATCAAGAATTTTTTAAATATCATTTTATATAAATAAACTATATCAAGATTTAAATTATAAAATTTCAAGGCATTTTGGTTGGAGAAATAAAACATCATTCTTTCAATCCTCAGATATTTCAAATCACAAGATGAGAAATAAATTTTGGCTATTTTTGATAGCATATTAAGAAATGGCATTTATTAACAACCATATTGTATGCATGTATTTTTTAACATTTTAATTATAAAATTGATATTTCCTCCACCTTGTGCTGATAATTATTTGCCCTAAAACACCTTTTTTATTGCTGATATCCAATTAATCTACAGTAAAGGACACTTTAATTTCTTAAACACTGTTGAATGAAGAAAAGACTGAATTTCAGGCAAATTACTCAAAGAGAATAGCACTCTTGAGAAAGACTGAATGTCAATAAAATATGTCAATGATGCTTGTGACAGTTTCTGTTGATAAATATTTTATCTTGTGTCATCCAATTAAAACAAGGCTTAATGAACATTACAAAGCCTCAGAGCACAAAGAAGACCAATTATGATTGGATGTTTGATTTCTCAAGAATTTTTATCAAGATACTTTCCATGGATTAACTTCATAAGGGTTTATCAAGCTCTTCCCTTTTCAAGAGAAAATGGAAGTTTTACTCAGTCGTTTCTGAATATTAAGTAATGTCTTTTTGAGTGCGATTTTTTTCTGTTTCCTGCTTGCAATTTTGTCATTGTTATTATCTTCTTTTTTTTTAACTTAATGAAATTTTATCTCAATCTGTTTGATTTATTTATTGATCTTTATGTCTTCCCCGAAACAAAAATAAGTTATTTTGTGTCAGGCTGATCTGAAGATATTGTGAATCAGCATTGAAATATTTGAGAAAAATGAAATCTGCTTTCTCATTTCTTCATCGAATATTGATTTTCATGATGTATGTATTTGGGGAATTAATTTTTATCTTTTAAATCTTGAAAATGTCTTCTGGGTTGTTTTTTTTTATAGGGAGGCATACACATTTACATTTATGCAGATGTGAATATTATATGTTTTTTTATTATACATTTTTTGTTATATATCCTTTTTATTATACATCTCTTTTTTTGTTAGATATCCTTTTTATTATACATCTCTTTTTTGTTATATATCCTTTTTATTGTCTCTTTTTTTGTTATATATCCATGAAACTTAGATTTTGGTAAGAAAAATAGTCTATCTTACTCCTTTATAAGTCTATCAATCATCATTGCATTGCATATTGCTACCCCATTTGGTCTGGCACTTCTGCTATGTATCTAGAGATTTTTGACAAAATCCTAAGAAGAATATGCAATGTTATTGGTCCTGACCTGACATTTAGGTTGCAGTAACATTCCCACCACCATAATAGAGCTTTATTCTGGCTTTTCTATAAATATTCTTATGGTAATTGTTCTGATGAGCTTTCTCCTTTGATACTTTTGACTAATTTAAGCACAAGACTAGGTTGGCTGCTAGATCTCATAATATTATGATTTAAGTTCTATGCTAACAATTTCCTCTCACTTGTGGAACTCCCTTCCAGCTTCTTGTTTTCCAGTCAAATTTGATCATCAAAAATTTAAATGCATTGTCAATTATCATCTTCTACCTTCTTAAATCTTGTTCTTCTATTGACCTCTCTCTTAATAATGATTTTTCTGAAATTATTTCGCACTTAGTAGCCCCCTTTTGTCTTAGTGGCTTTATTGCCTTGCATGGGGTGAAATGAGTAAAAAAAAATTATGTTTAAGGTCTGAAATTGCACAGCATATATTCTAGAGGTAAATTAATATTTTTACCCTCTGATCAAATTGTTAAAAGCTTTTAATGAAAAGGGTGGTCTCCTATTTAATTAACAGGTGGGACAGGATAATTCAGTAATATTTGTTAGCCAAGAATGAAGAGTTCAATCCTTGGGAGGATTAACATTAGCAATTTCCATAATGGTCATCTGAAAGTTATAAATTATATGTAACCTTATAATTATATGTAACCTTATAATTATATGTAACCTTATAATTATATGTAATCTTATACATCTCTTTTTTTTTTGTTATATATCTTTTTATTAAACCTCTATTTTGTCTTCTTTGTAACTTTATTGCCCCTCTGTTTTTATTATACGTCTTTTTATTTATATACATCCTTCATCATCCATTGTTTTATGATATAACTTTACCATATATCTTTTGTAGATCATGTTTTCTTTTTAAATCATTCTATTACATAACATTTTATAATGCATCCTTTTTACAATACATCTTTTTTATGTCTTTTCATTAATTATTTTTATTGTTTTTTTTTTTTTAAGCATTTCACCCCAAGCAAGACGGGAGTGCCACTAGCACACAAGGGGTTACAGAGAGTGGGAGCAAGAGTAAAGAGGCGTGATAGAGGAAAGGATGAAGAGAAGGAAGGGGAATTAGATCAAGGCATCTGAAGATATCGATTGACATTGCATTTGAATCATTAGAGATTATAGCTATCAGGGAAGCAAGTAAGAGGAAGGGAGTTCCACACACGGGAAGTGCGAGACATGAAACTATTAGAGCAGAAGAGACGTCTACATTTAACAGTTTCAA